CGCTGTTTAGGTGAGGTCAATTTAATAACCACATTCGGGTCCTGTATACGTGTCTTAGAGACAGAGATACAGTATACATCCATGGCTCGAGATTCCAGAGTTTAGTAATCCATGTTTGATATCTGATTTGGCATAGGGTTCGGACGTTGAAAACTCCTACATGAAATCGATGGTGGGGTCTTTGGAGAATGGGAATGAGGTTTCGATGGCTTCGGTCTTCGGAAGTGGTTGGAGAACGAGAGCTTGGGGAAAGTGTAAGAGGCCTAATATTGGTATCAGAAGGTGAAGGCAAAGAAAGATACAGAGTTGAGCAGGCTAGATTATATTTGACTTGGTTTTGTGTAATGATCAAAGTTTTAATACTAGTACTCCCCTATGGATATTGTTTGGAGAGCATTTGGAAACAAACGCCAGTTAGGTGAATGTTGGAGTACTTCAATGGTTGAGTCCTGTATGCTTTAAATTTCAACCAAGAGAATTAAATAAGTTCAATTCAGTGGCTATTGTCAAGACAGCTTAATTTATTAATGTACATCTCGTCGCCTTTTGACTCGAATTAAAATTGTTGCTGCTAAACACTATTTTTTAGTTACTCGGGGAAACACTTCATAAGATTACTATAATTGATCTTTATGAATGGATAATAAGTATCCATGCAAACCCAGTTCCCTGACTTTAAATCCCAACTAGACAAACGTCAGTTTCGGTAGACGTATCTTTATCACTTTTTGCGCATCAGTGATATGCTAGCAGATGGCATCAGAATGTCATTTGCACATCGTATTATTGTCAAATACGCAACGTGCTGACAAGTGCTTTGGACGCTAGTGACAAAATGTACTCAGAGTTAAATGAAACTCCCCTCTGACCCTGAAATGAAAAATCCCACCCTTATTTCGGAGTAGCATAGTTCCCAACTTCTTCATGAGTTGAATTCTTCCTTATAGATAATATAATCACAATTTTGATACCGGTTCGATCTTACAATCATTCCAGTTGTGCAAGTAGATACTTATTGGGCTGAATCTAAGACAAAACTGCAATTATTAGTTGACAGAGTGAATAAAAAGGAAATTGATTAATAGTTATTATTCTATTTATTATTTGTCCTCTGGGTACCTAGTGGAACATACAACTTCAGTAGCACGCCTCCATTCCACTCTCTTCTCTCGTCTTTTAAACCTGGCTCCACCACTCCCCACAAGCTTTCATTTCTTCCTCACACGATCTCCTCCTTGTTACTCTGGGACGCCCAACTCGTCATTTCCCATTTGGGTTCCACTTGATTACCTGGCACGTGATGTCCCCAAATGGTCTTATCAGTGTGTGCCTAATCCATCTCCACTTACTTCTGCATATTGGTTGAGCGATAGATTGTTGGTTGGTTCGTTGTCAGCCAGAGTTCCTTGTTGCTTATTCTCATTATTCTGGCCATCTGAGCTTCAGTAACGAGCCAGCGTAAGCGGCAGTTGTTGATGAATATCTGTAGTTTGTTGGAAATGCTTTTCGTAACGCGTCGCCAAGTCTGTGAACCATCAGATAGAGCACTGACTTGACTGATATTGGTGTTGTAAATCCGGATGTTGTTCACGCTTTTTGCTGAGTGCAGAAGATCTCTACATTAGTTTCAGGTCAATGAACGCCTGTCTTGCTTTTCCGATCGTGGTTGCTTTGACATCCTTGTCTGTGCTGCCTGTAGTTGAAACGGTGCTGCCTAGATAGGTGAAAGAGGTTACTTCCTTTGAGTTTCTCCCGTTGATGGTGATTGGGGCTTGTTGTTGTTGGTCGTGGTGTTGTTGGTCGGGTATCATCATCATTTCTGTCTTCTCTACGTTCACTTGAAGTCCCGAGTTCGCTGCCCTACCTCTTCTGTCAACTTATTAGTTTTCGTCTTTAGGTCTTCGAGGCATCGGTGAAATCCAAATCTTCTAAGATCCTTTCCCTGGTCCAGCATATCCCCTTCTTCTCGCTCCTCATGGTTTGTTGTATGATCCAGTCAACCAGAGTCAGGAAGGTCATGGGTGATAGTAGGTGGCAGCCTTGTGTTAGTTCTGTCTTCACTTCAAAGGTATCATTGAGCTTCCATTGTGAATTACTTGGCTGGCATGTGGCGTCTTCATGTAGTTGTTGAATGAGGTTGATAAAGGTTTGTGGCATTAAGAAAAGGTGTTGGAGCAGTTTTCAAATTACTTCTCGGTTGAAGCTGTCGAAGGCCTTTACGAATTCGATGAGGTTGGTGTAGAGTTGAGTTGATTACCGTTCTATGCTGTGTTCTGTGATTATGCGTAGTGTAGCGTTGCGATTTGCTCCGTATATAATTTGTACTTCCTGAATCCAGCCAGCCAGTCAGCCAGCCTGTTCGGGTTGTAGTTTTGAATCCAGTATATCCTGTAGTCTCTCCAGGATGATGTGGCTTAATATTTTGTTTGGGTAGACAGGAGCATGATTCTGCCCCAGTTCTTGCAAAGACTTAGGTCTCCCTTCTTTGGTAGTTTGACAAGGTAGCCCTTCTTCCAATCAATCGACAGGTACCTTTCCTTGCTTCCAGACCTTTCGGAATGGTGGTGTGAGCATGTGTACTGTTAACAATGCGTCTGTTGTCATCACTTCTGATGAGATTCCATCTGGTCCTGCTGTTTTCCAGCATTTCAGTAGTTTTATGGTGCTCAGGACTTCGACTTTCGTTGGAGGGCTTGTGTTCACTTGTAGTTTTGTGGCTGGGCTGTAGGTGGTATTTCTAGACGAAGTGCAGGTGGTAGTGGTGGTCGATTGAAGAGTTTTTTGAAGTGGTGAGACCATCGTTCCCTTTGTTTCTCATCTTTGGTAATTAGATTTCCTTCATCATCTGTGTTGATCTCTTCCTGGTAGATAGTAACCTGATTATTTGATATAATGTTTTCGGTCAGGTCTGTCCTACCAGCAGCCTGTTGTGCTTTACTTGCCAGTGTGTCGTGGAAGTGTCTTTTGTCTTTGTGCACACTCTTCTTCACTTCTTCGTCCAGTGTAGTGTTCTATACGTTGTAGTCAGTTCTTCTTTTCGTTGTTCATCCTTGCACTGCACTGGTTCATCTTCTGCTTCACCATCCTCCTCTCCTCTCCTCTATCAGCTTCCATGTGTGCGTGGAGATCCATTCCTTGTCCTGTCATGTATCTTCTTCCTTCTTAATGCGGTTATGCAGGTTTCTTTCCACATCTCTTTCAGAGAGTTCTACTGTTCTTCCACACAGGTTTCTTCAGGGATGTTGTTCAATGTCTCCCATTTTGTTCTGATGGCTGACTGACGTGAATATGTCTTTTGTAGTTTCGTTCTTCAGTTCCTGTTCTAGGTGGATGTTGAACTTGAACTGTGGTCTATCACCAACTTCCTTGAAGGTTTTCAGATTGATGTTGAAGGTAGGTTGCTTGCACTAGATAATGGTGTGAGTGGTGTGAACCTACATCTGCTCCCCTCCCTTGATCTGATTTTGTGTGAAGTAGGCTGGCTGCGTCTCCACTTTCTTCACATTGAGATGAAGTCGATCTGATGTTTAGTGTAGTGTGTCGTGGTGTCTGGTGAAATCAAATCCATGTCGCTCACTTTGTGAATGTCCTTGTGTTTGTACACAGTGCCTCCAATCACCAAATCGTTGAATGCACAGAATTCTGCAAACAGTTCTCCATTCTCGTTCATCATTTCACTGAGTGCTTCTCTATACAGGATTGGTTCTCTTCCTGTGTTGTCTGCTCCCATTTTCGCATTCATGTCACCCAACCGATTAGAATTTTGATGTCGCCAACTGGGGTGAGGTGTTGTCCAGTGTTGATTGGAGTTGTCTGTAGAATTCTTCCTTGTTTTTCTGTTGATGTGCATTATTTGTAGTTGTTTAGCGTAGCATTGTATGATTGTGACTTTCCTTCGTTTTGAGTTGAATTTTGCTGTCATGATCCTGGAGTAGATTGGTTGATGTTGGGACATCATGAAAGCCACTCGAAAACTCAGTGTACTGTGCTTGTGTTTGTCGTCTGGGTGACAATATGGGAGTAGATTATTGACTTCTGTGGAGTTGACAGTTTGGAGAGTCCACTTGCATTCTATCTGCTTTCTGAGATTCCTAGCCTGGCACTTCTATGCTATACCTTCTCATCTGTTTTGCGATCTGGGCAGCCTTGCCAGTCAACCAGCCAGCCGCAAACATGGTGCGAACATTCCATATCCTCATCCTTACTCTCGCTTTCATCGAGAGAGGCTAAGGCACATCGGCCTACTGGCTTCCCGAAGGCTTTCATCAACGGGCGTCATTTTGTCTCCGATTCCATCGAGGAATAATTTTGTTTTATTTTGTATATTTTGTTTGTGGTTTGAAGTTTCTTAAGTGGTTGGATTGATTTTACGGGGTAGAGTTGCTATGTGTATGTCCAACCTTCCCTCTCTACCCGTGCTTAAGACTGGCTAGTAGTTAGTGAACTAGTTAACCAGGAGAGGTTGATTAGTAGTTACTGTCGTCTAAATTCCTACAAGTTTTTTTAGAATTTGAGTGAAATGCAGTTCAGTAAGTGTAAAGCATTTGATTATATGAATAAGTAGCCTGTAAAACGAGTAATATGTATTTTGAAGCAATGGATATTCCTGAACAGTCAGATATTTTTCGCGTCCATCAGATTGTACATTTTCTCTATTCAAGCTTATGAAATTCGTATTATACATGATACAACTTTGAGGTTTCTTTTGCATTTCAAACTGGGCTTTGAGAAGACAGAACAGTATTTATTAAACGGATTTTCTTGAAAAGTGTTCACTCTTTAACTTTCAATTTTGTAGTGAAGCATCCTGATCATAAGTTTTCTGTAATCAGCTGGAGTACTCGTCCATTGCTTAGAGTAATTTTGCCATGTGATGAGATTATCTAGCTAGTCATTGGACGTTATTTTGTTACCCAAAGTATATTTTTTCTCTTCACTGACTTCAAATTGATAAAACTCATAATGTATTGATATACATTGTAACGTGTTTATCTTTTCAGGCATCTTTTATATCCTTCGAAATGTTTTACATCAAGCAATACTTTCTTACTTAAAGACAATAGTTTTCAAGAGGAAAGATCCTAATCAAGTGCTTTGTCAAGATGAATTACTTCCTCATCTTCTTGCTGATTTTAACATGTATGTCAAGAGTTTACATTCAATGCAGAAAGTATCAAATATCCTCTTTGTTAATGCACTGATTAACCTTATTTTCAGATATTTATTTTATGATGTATTTTACGGAGAAGGTTTCAACTTACGACGTGACGTGTATATACGAGTGGCCAATACGCTACGGTAAGTATATTCGTTTATCTGGAGAAAACTATAAGTGTTATAATATTACCAGTAGCCTACTTGAAGTATTATTCCAGTAAGACGGTACAGTCAGACTAAAGTCTTACACCATCGCTCAGTTAGTCGAACTTTTTGACAGCTCCCAACAGAGTCAGTCAACTAGAATTCACTTCTGGTTGTTCTGGGCTGTAATCCATTGGAGCATGGGTAATGATGACATATACATATTTCTTCCTATCAGTTACGTTTTGTTTTTTCAACTATTATACACATGTTTCTTATTGGGGGCTAGTCGGGTTGTAAAGCCTTAACTTTAGAACCAAATACACCACTGATTAAACCGAACTTGAGCGACAGTTACATAGAATCTTCGAGCACGTGCTCTTCAAATATATTTTTCGAGCTGATGGATGCAGAAAGTATTCAGAACATTTACTTCTGTATCTCTACGACATAAAATGAATCAGTATTTAGACTTTTCAGGGTCTTAATAAGACAGCCTTTTTCTCAAACGCCAGAGCGTTATCCACTACACCACTGAGACACGATAGCCACTTCTTGTGTGATGGGTATAGTTTTAGTATAATTGTTTGTATTATCCCGTCTTTAATTGGACTAAATTGATCCGTCTCTATTAGCATATGGGTTCCTGTGCGGATGTCTCGATATTACCTGTATTTTAGTTGTAGTAATGATGGAGTCACAAATAGGATGAAATGCACATCCTGGATTCCACTACTAGCCACTATCCATCATCATACAGATTGTTGGTGAACATGATTTTATCTTGTTACTAGCACTGAATTCACTGTTTTACTCTTGGAAACCTGATCACTATTTGAAATCTCAGAACAAAACTGATAACTTGATAAGATATATAATACTGACGAGTTGATAATTGATAGCTCTGTATGGTGTGATATATTGTATTCATTTGAATAGTTACATATGTGTGTAAAAATGCTTATGTTTATTTCAGTCTCATGAGGGATCCAAGTCAAATACCTGATTTCGCCTTAAAAAACATACAGATAAAAAATCTAACTGGGGATGATTGGATTTTAGTTCTACCACCTTGGGGTCCACTACCTCATTGGTTCAATGACAGACTATACAAAAAGTATACTGGTTATAATGCATATAATTGGTCTGGAGTTTCATGGTCAATGTATTTTGATTTAAATAGTCTTTCAGTATTTGTACCAGTTATGGATTTAATTGAATATCAGCGCAATGGTAAGTGATAATTTTCATTATTGTCTTGATTATACTGCATAAAAACTATTTCTCATTATCTAATACAACGGTTATGACTACGAAAGTATTTAAAAGAAAGAAGTTGGTTAAGGCAACTTTACTGTTATTCTTCAGACTTGGAGTTGATAAGGCCATCAGGAGGGGGCGGGCAACACTATAGTAAATATGTCAAGTTGGTATTCATCGTAGACTGACATCAGTTGGAGGAATATTGGAAACCTGGGAGTACTGAACAACTGTTTCGTCCTGGTATGGGACTTCTCAGCAGTGCGCACACCCACTACCCCCCACCTCCAGGGATCGAACCCGAGACCTTCAGGTTCCCTGGCCAGCACGTTACCATTGAGCCACTGGGTCAGAATCTAATGGTCCATATTTTCAACTTCTGTCAATTCACGACATAGCGCAACCGCCACCCAATGTCATCGTTGAGTAACTGTCCTCATGACTATCAGGCTAGCCCCACTGGTCACGACTTTTCATTGTGACTTCAGGAATACCTCTCGAAGCTAGTCACCAATGAGTACCAGTTCAATTAAATTTCGAGGAGGTTGTGCGGATTTAGAAATATTTCAAGTTGGTATTCATCGTAGAGGCACAATGGAAACCTGGGAGCACTGGACAGTTGTTTCGTCCTAGCATGGGATTATAGTAAATCTTAAACCCGGAATTTGTACATATATTGACATTCATCAAGATGGCAAAACTAATCGTCTTAATCGTTTCATCCTTTTGGATTCATCTAGGTTTAGATTAATTTCTATATTAAATATGATGTATCAATATGCCAATTTTTTTAATAGGGAGGCTTGAACGAGACACACCTTGAGCTACGTTGGCAGTGATCAGCATGAAATTAAGTACTATCCAGTACTCTCTAGTATGCTGTAAAAATAGCGTTAAAGACCGTAGCTGACTGTCAATCCGAACCAGTGGATATCAGCGGCTTCTTCTAAATTAATGGATGCACTCGAACGCAACTTAAATATAGGCTGACAAAAAGTCTACGCTATCACCGTGAATAGTGGTAATCAGTGAAGCCTAAAGAGATAGAAAAGGCAGAGGTGATAGATAACAGCAGAGAATTATTTAGACTTATTAAGGAAACTTGGGCGAAAGAGTCAACGGTTAGTGAGGCTATAGCGAAGAAGGATGGGTTTGCGATTCACTCACAAGGGTGGAGCACTTCGACAAACAGTTCAACTGGCCTCCAGCTACTATTGCGTTGCCCGCTATCCAGTCGGATCCTGAATGGAACAGGCCCTTCAACACTAGCAGAAGTTGAGAAAGTGGTAGGTAACTTGAAACAAGGAAGAGCAGCAGGTCCAAACAGATTAGTTTCCGAGGTATATAAGGACGGCGGTAGAGTGATTTTACTCAAGTTAGCTGAAGTATTAACTAGTAAATGAGAATCAATACGATCCCCTCTGACGGGTCTAAATCACTGATTATTCTAGTCTTCAAGAAAAGCGAGAAGTCCTCTTGTGATAACCACAGAGGAATCAACCTGACATAGTGTCTAAGATTCTAAGTTTTATAATCATTAGAGGCCTGACTGGAGCTCGGGAATACCAAGCCCGAAAAAAACAGGTAGGCTTCAGACCTGGTCGTGGTTCATCGATCAAATATTCACACTCTCAGGTTCTGGAAAATAGGCACGTTTACCGGCGTCTGACAATAGCTTTATTTCTTGACCTGAAGGAGTCACTCGACTCTAGTTATCCAGAGGTCTCATGGTGGTTTCACCCACTTAAATGGGCCACGAGTAAGTACTCGTAAACCTATGAGCATGTTAAAGCCTATGGTGAGATATTGAGTGGGTTATATACGTCGAATGGTTTCCGTCAAGGATGCTCATTCCCTCCGTTTCCATTCAATTTTATCATAGATTTTCTTACAGAGGTCCTCCTCTCTTCATCTGACTACACACGGACTGAACTGATCATAGGAGAATTTTTAGTAGACCTAAAATACACAGATGACATAATCCTGTTTGATAAAGACGCTGACAAGATGCAGTCTTCTGGACACCTTGAGTGGCAATTTGGGTATAAATATAAACTACTGCTTCATGACTAGTTTTCGATGGTACCGTGGTTAACAGTAGAGAGTGAAGTAGTTGAACGGCGTTGAACATTTCACTTATCCGAATAGTCGAATCAGCTGCGATGCGTTGGTCAGTCACCGATGAAATCTCTACACGGATACTAAAGGCTCAGTTGGCTCTTGCCGACTTACACTATCTGTGACGCCGCCACAATATCCGATTGCCTACTAAGGGTCGAGTGTACTGTGCTGCAGTCCGCTGTGTTCTGCTGTATGGCTGCAAGACATGGTTATGAGAAGGTTTCAGGTGTTTGACCACTGTTGTCTTCATAGCACAGGCTGTGTTTCGTAGTGTCATCATATGAGTAACGCGAAAGTCAGGCGTAGAGTTTTATGCAGGAGAGATAAGACAGTTGATGCAGTTGTTAACCTTCGTCGACTGAGATATCTAGGACATACGTTACGTATCCCTGGCCGCCACCTGCTTCGTTATATAATGTTGGACGAGGTAGGTTCAGGCTACAAAAAGGCTCGAGGCGGCCAGACTAGAACATGACATCGATGCATGAAGTTCTTGAGTGTTTGTTTGAGTGAGCCATATCGAGCGATGCGGACTAGCTGGTTGGGGTCCGCAAGATAAGAGAAATCAGTGGTTGGAGACTGACTCTAGGTGATATGGCTGAGAACCGATGTCCGTGGCGCAGATGCATATACACGCTGTCTTCTTCTTGACCCCTATACTACTTACTACTTCTATTTCCTTTGGCCAAATTTTCTTTCCTTCTTCATCTTTCATTCCATTGCCTTGCTACTTGTTGCGCTGATATGAGGTGTGGCAAGTTGAAGCGCCACACAGTAATACCTGATCGTATGTTGATCTTGATGATGATGGCTATCCTGTAAACAGTTACGTGTTTTAAAGAATAATGGAATAAAACATAAACTACACTTTTATATAACGACTAACAGTATTGTTGTCGAAGATTTTCCAAGTCTTATTTAGAGGGGTAGGTTTTGAATTCAAGACGTATCGCCTCAATCAAAGGCTTGGGTCATTGAGTTGTATCTAAAAAAAGTTGTAGTAGAAGGTTTTCTAGGGTTGAATTAGGTATACATATATCAAATCTGTTCTTCTTTGAATTCACGTGTTGACCTGGGGCATCTGCATCTGTCTTTACTGTCTTTCTATGTATTAAATTATCATCATCCTAGCTTGCTTAAAATATGACTATCTAGTGGAAATTGGGTAAACAACATCAGAAAATGGTGTAATTCTATGGAGATCTTGTTCACCCTGACACCTGTAGGATATAATAGTTTTAACAAATTGATAAAAGGTGGTAGTTAATGCGAATATTACTAATCGACATCAATCATTTTGATTAAATTGATTGTGAGTGGTGGTTGTGTTCGAGCTGAAGACCTTCGGGTCACCGGCTTTGCACTCTGTCACTTGAAACCGACGAGACTCAGCTGCTATATGTTGTAAGTGTGGCAGTTTGAGCCGACACACTCCTATGCGAGATTCTGCATTGATTTTGTCAGTCAGTGCCATATTGTAAAGGAAGCGTAAAGAAAACTATGGCAATTGGCAGGAAGTTCACCTCGATCTGCGTTTCATGCTTGCTGATGCTTATCAGTAAGATATGTCTGCTGACTGATTGACTGACTAAAAAAATCAACTTAGAACCTCGTACATAAGTGCATTGATTCAAGTTACCACATTTCACAGTAGTAAACAAAGAACAAATTGATAGAAAAAGGCTGACATTAAAGTAGACAGAGTTATGTGAGAGAATAATCATCATCATCAAAATCAACATAGGACCAGGCATTACTGCATAACGATCTAAGTTAGAGGATAAACAATTTGAACATAATCGTCAGGGAAAATAGTCAAGCTTTAGAAGACATCAAGGAGTGAATTGATCTACACCATTTTAAACGGTTTTTTAGCCATGTCACCAAGAATCCTCAACCTCTGATTTCCATCATCTTTGGGATCCCAGCCAGGCAGTGTACATGTCCTCACGCGCCTCAGACCAACAGTTGGTCTGTCCACTGTGAACCTTCTACCAACTTAACCCGACTTCCCTTAGCATAGCAAGTTGAGGTTGGTGTTGGATGGGCATGCGCAGTAAATTTCCATACCATCTTAGTCGATGGAGGATATCAATGCAATCCTCAGTGTGCATTTCGTCCTGTCTCCCAGTGCGTGATGTTGCTACCACGGAAACTTGAATCTAGCGTCCATCACTTCAAACGCCACTGCCCATCATTACTAGCAAACTAAAGCTACCGGCAGTCTCTAAGCATCTGCATTGGTTTAGGGAGATAACTTTCAATCAATGGGTCATGGGATCGACTCCCGTTTCACCTATCGAGGTTTAAGCAGCCAGGTAGTATCACCAGCCTTTAAATACACAAATGGTGTATGGCTTCTTCCCTACTGTACGAATATGCACACATTTGTTGAGTGCGGTTCGATTCGACACGAGCATATACACTAATAGTAGGTGATCACTTCAATGCATGTAAATCAATGACAAGAAACAACAAGCTAAGACATAAATATGCAAATCCTTAGGAATTCTAACTGTTCATTGATTAGATTAATAATGATCATTAGCCATGGTTTTTTTGCTAACTACAGAGGTATTTTTTTGTCGATTGAACTTTACCTTCCTGATTTTCAACTTCTATTGACAACTTTTTCTGCTAACTATGGTTAGGCAGAATCGAATGAGAAATACTCCATCATCTACTATTCAACAGTGTGTTCTTACAGGACATATATATATGGGCTGTTGGACAATAACATTAGACTTCACCCCTGAGGGTCACTTGGCTCCTCGAAAACAGCAAAAGTGGCAACGCTGTTTACTAGAACAAGAAGGCTATACTCAAAAGACAAACAGGAAGAAGAATTCGCTATCACTGAGATAACTTTTATCGAGAATGGATATTCGAAGAAATTCATCATGAAGAATGAAAAAGAACTTATTGAGAGACCAAAATATCCAAATATTGAGAAGAAGCCTGTTTTCCTTCGCCTAACATTCAAAGGTGATGAGACATCACAAAGAAGGGACAGAAGCATAAAAGGGGAACTGGAAAGGAGCTTCCCTGCTGCGAGATTGATCTCAGTTTCCAGTACAGTATGATCAATAACACAATCGAAAGTAGACGAATACCCAACTCACGTCATCTTCAACTGTGTACGTCGATTCACCTATGCTTGTGGAAGTAACTACATAAGAAGGACTAAAGGAAGGGCAACTACTCGATTTTATGAGCGTATTCCAAGAAATGTGTGTCTGAAAGGTAGCTATGTACTTAACAGTGCTATATATATATATATATATATATATATATATATATATATATATATATATATATATATATATATATATATATAAACTATGGTTAGACAGATTTGAATGAGAAATACTCCATCATCTACTATTGAGCAGTGGATGTTCTTACAATATGTACTATTTGTATCATTTAATTAATCTTAAGTTTTTCAAATTAAACCTGTAAATAATGATTGTTCAGTGCTAACTAGGCCTTGATATTTACTCACAGATGATGTAATCAGTACTTTCTTTATTACGATGTCAACTGTTTCAATGATAAACATCTATAGTGAGAAAATCTTAGTTGTATTGTATTCTCTGAACTGGGTTGTTTAATCATCGGGCTTTCATTGAATTTCTAAACGACACTACGTCATCAGTGCCTACGTCACTACTCATTTTAGAAATGAAATCGAAAAACCAGTACGTTTTGTAAACAGGAAGTTACCACTCAGTCATACGGTTTGGCGTTCATTGGTTCATATTTTAACTATGATACACAGTTGGATGGAATAAAACGGCAGTATGAAAAATTGGTTTTTTTAGATGTAGAGTTGGAGATTGATAACTGAATTGATTGACAAGATAATACGAAATATGAAAACATTGCTAACTTAATGAGGTACAAGGACAATTCTGCCTCAGTATCTTGTACTTCACTGAGCCATGTAAAACAGAAGACAAAGACCGATCTATGGCTGTAAGGAAGACACTTTATTCAGCAAAAGTGTATCGTTTACATCCAATTTTCAAATAGCTTATTTTGATTGGTTAACTGTAGGAAAAAATCGTTTAATCAAGTTTTTTCCTGACCACACTGTAACATGAAGCAAAGGTTGAAATCCAAAAGTTTCACCTTTACCATTCACTACCGACAGTCATCAGTTATCGGATCATCAAGAACCTAGGAGCATTGAACGGCCGTTTTGTCCTAGTACTCACCCATAATCCTGCTGGTGGTCGAACTCACGATTTTCAGGTTTCACGATGAACGCGTTAACCATTCAACCACTGTGTCGAAGTTTAATAGTCTAAAAATTCCTACTTCTATCAGTTCGCGATAGAGCGCAATTATCTACCAAAGTCTTCAACTGGCATCCACTTCACTTCCGACCGGTTGATTCTATAGGTCACCGTTTCTAATTAGAACTTCAGAATATCCATCTCGCGGCATGTCACTAATGAGGAGTATACAGTGATGTAGTTCGAGGTTAATGATCAGCTGCAGGAAAAATTGTCCAATCAGGTTTTTCCTGACCACACTGTAACATGGAGCAAAGGTTGAAATCCAAAACGTTTGCCTTAGTGGCTGGTGACTTAAAATGTTGGTTTCGAGTAAGGCCGCTTCTTATCAAAAACAGTGTCCTTGTTTATTAAATCAACACCGAATACACACAACAGAAATAACCCAGCAACTGTTCCATATATATATATGTATATATATATATATATATATATATATATATATATATATATATATGAGCCATGTCTCAAAGTTGTAAAGTAACGTTAGCATAACTATGGATCGTGAATTGTGTCTGAAACGTTATCCAGTGAAGAATACTCACTGTTTCACAGTGTGTGATACGTCTTATAAGTAAACTAAAATGAACCGTAGTACTGGGTGATGATTGAAGATGAAATGAAAATTTGGACCGCAGCCGGATTCGAACCAACGACTATTGGGTTTCCCGCCCGATGCTCTACCAACTAAGCTACAAGCATCGGTCAGTAAACTCAATGGTGGGTGGTTTCGAATCTGGCCACGGTCCAAATTTTCACTTCACCTTCAATCATCCTCCAGTATGAATACTAGATTGTCAGACCACAGCTATCTCAGATAGTCAGAATGATAATGAACCATTGTATTTATTAATCGTTATAACTTTATTGAGTTATTGCACGTTTCTCTTATGTGAGATAGAATCTTTTCCATACTATGTTTACATTAAGGTTATTCACTGAAAGATCGTAATTATAGTTTGTCTTGTTTTTGGAAAAAAACTTGTAGACCAAGGTCATTCAAAATTACTTTTTCTCTTAATGAATACAATTTTCCTTTAGTATTGAATTCAATGCCATTGAACAAACTGTCTAATACATTGACAATTGATTTGGCGCTTCAATTGGTTCGAGAAACATTTGATAAAGTAAAACAATATTCACATACTGATCGTAGAGTAGACTATTGTCCTAGTGAAATACGTGAACTATATGCATCGAATGTAAGTGGATTATTATACTGTATGTTATGTTAAACATTTCGTTTACTTCTTTCATCCACCGTTCCTTCGTCCACCCCCTCCACACACAAACCTTTTTATGCCATCATTCTTATCAAACCTCTGGGTGGTACAGAAAGTATCCGCGCTCCTAACGACTAATATGAAAAACTAAGAAGTGACTCTAAAGGCTACCTAAACAACAAATCAGATTCTTCTTCTTCATGGAAATCTACTATCCCAACGCGAATACCGAAATCTGATTGGTTATTTCATCTGTTGCTGGGTTGACCTTTAGGATCACTCAGATTAAGATAAATAATTCTTCAACATAAAATAGAATAAAGTTATCACACTTTAGAACATCATGCAGCGAAGAAATGGATGATAAAAGTGATCTCATGCTAAACAAACTTTATGAGGCTTGAGTGCGTGAATAATGAAGGTTCAAAACTTCGAAGATGATTATTTCATTGAAGAAGCTGGGACCAAACTTCCGTGTGAAACGCTAGCATTAGTTCAGTTCAAACACTCTGTGACATGTTTGACTCAGGGCAAGAGAATAACAACAGTGATAAACAACATCAATCTTCGTTTCGTAGGAAGGAAGAAGAATGAAATTTGCAGAATAAAACGAGATTTTCTTTCACATCTACTCTTCAGCTACATACAGTGGTTATTAGTGGTGAATAAGATATTTCTAAATTAGGAGATGAATAATCATAAGTTCCATTTCAGGAACCAGCTTTACAAACAGATTGATAGAGTGACGATAGGTTCATTTCGAACAGACGCCCCTGATTTCAGTCATCAGAGAAACAACCTATGACTACAGGTACGTTGACGACACCTTTGTTACTTGCAATGATATGAAACATGCAAGTGAGTTGTTCACCAGGCTCATCCTAACATTAAATTTACAATGGAATATGTCAGCATGAAAATGAGTTCAGTTTTTTGGACCTCAACAACAGAACAAGAAGTGATTATATGATTGAAAAGACCATTCATAGAAAAGACACATGGACTGAACAATACAGTAAATATAACAATTTCCTTCTTGCCATCTACTATAAGCGTGGGCTAGTTGAAACACTTTACAACAGACCTATGAAATTATTTTCTGCAAACAAGTTAGAGGAAGAGATAAACTTTATTGACAAGTATCTCCAAGAGAATGAATACCTTGAACTATTTATTATGAAGTATGGAAAAAACGAGATGCATAGATGAACATCCAACTGTGGAAATGATTCAATATCCAAACGACTTGACATAAGAATCAAAGCAGCATTGAGAAGCAGCTATCCTTCAGCTAAACTTGTATGAGTCAAGAATACCTCTTTATACTAGTTAAACCAGTCAAAATTGGATGATTACCCTGCTCATGTCATCTTCAAGTGTATTTATGAATTCACATGGACTCGCGATAGAAAGTACATTAGAAGAATTGACATGGTGGGCTGGAGAGGGGCATCCATTGCATTCACTCAGCATTTCTCCAACAATTTGTACTTGAAAGGGAAGATGAATTCTAACCAATGCAATTACCAGACATCTGGTAGATACAGGACATCAGGTTAAAACCTTGAGTGAAATTAAAATAACCGACGTTCAGAAAATGTCTGTATTACTATGCTTCAAGGAAGTGATTACTATAAAGTGCTTTCACCTTGACCTTTGAATACAGCAGAAGGAGAGTGTGGTTAATGTCCTACTCCGTTGGTGAATATGATTTGATCCTGTTTCATTTTCATTTGGACTGCCTAAGTCTTTATTCATTTTATTTCCCCTTTCTTACATTTCTTCCCTCTTTACAGTTAATTCTCTTGTATGTTATCCATCCATCGAAGTCAACACAGGACCAGGCATTACTGCGTAACGGTCCGAGTTTCCACAGCTCATATCAATACATCTTGTGTGTTATGTGGATTATCAATGATTTTTTTATACACCCTAATGATTATTGGACTGCCTAATTTAGAAATATCTATCTTGCTTATGACCATTGTACTTTTAGGTTGTATGCGGCTGAAGAGTATCCATGAAATAGAAAGGATATCCTTTTATTCGAGGAATTTCCTACTTTTTGTTTTATCTAAAATTATCAGGGGATTAGAATACACAGAATGATATGCTTGTCATGTAATCGTATAATTATGGATTAGTTTTCAAGAGCGAATCGAGTACACATCTAGGCTTTGTAAAGCCAGGACGGTATACCATCTATTTCTGTGGTCCAACCGTAGGAAGGAAAAGAAAGACTGTTAGTTCGAATATGTCTTATCTTGCATTCAGCTTAGTTAGTGAATCATAGATGTGAAAAAAGCGTAGGCAAGTGCACTGATGTTCAGATGATGAGGCATACAGAAAGTTGAAATCACATAATCGTGTCAGTTGTCATCTCAAACTTAGAATATCAAGCCTGGATGATGAAATGCAATAAACTGCTCACCTATTCGTTAAGGACTATTAATCATACCACGTGGCTGCCCATATATTCGCAGATGGAGTGGGGGTTCGAACCCGTGACCCATTACTTGAATGTCATCTCTGTAAACCAATAAGCCACAGGTTCACTATATCAAGTCTAGTCAGTCTATTTATTGTTGCAACGTTTCTTCATCTCACTATACTGATCGGATATGTTGCAAGCTGATCTTTTTTTTTCCTAAGTATCTGATCGTGTTTATTTGTTAACTTTGGGAATTAACGGTTACTTTCTTTTTTACTAATCATTACCTTCACTATCATCACCCTTTTTACAATTTCTTTAAAACAAGAATTCATTATCAAACCGACCAATGGAATTATTTGAAGGTAGTAGTTTCACTTCAAAAAGTGGCATTCTACCAATGACAGCATCAGCATATGACTGTATTACTGGTGATTTAGAGCCTGTTCATTTGGCGCCTTTCCTAATTCGTCTGATTGAAAATTATGAAAAGCCGATTATGTGAGTAATTTTGTTTCTTCATTCTCCTGTCAGTCATTTAAACACTATTAACTACTTTGATTATATCAGTCAGATAAAGTGTAATAATACTGAAGTGACCGGGTGAATAATAATAATAATACTCAAACGATATTGGCGTAGTGAAACACTTTGACTGGATACAAATAGCGACTGTTCTCCCTCCCTCCCCCTCCCCCTTCAATGAGGCGCGAAAACTGGAAAACAAAAACCGGTCTGTAAAGAAGACATTTTATTCGACAAATACACTTCATTTATATACTGTTTTTAGGAGCATTATAAAATCACTAGGTCAAAAGTTAAGTAGCTCATTTTGATTGGTCGACTGTAAGGTAGAATTGTCCAATCAGGTTTTTTCCTGACCACGCAGCGGTTGATGACTTAAGATGTTTATTTCGAGTTACCCCGCTGCCTGTCAAATTACTTACTTCCTAAAAGAGATTGAATACTAAGTGATCCTATGAAAAGGTAGTAATAGCATCAGACAGACCGAACTTGGCACACATATGCATTAGTTCAAGTTGCCACATTTCACTGCACCATACAAGAAGAAAATGATTATTAAAAAAAGACGTTGGAGTAGGCGAAAGTGTAAGACAGTCGAGAGAAGAAATAGTTACAGTTCTATGTAAATGTTCATAACGTCGAAAATGACAAAAAATATGTAGTACAACACTGTTGTAATGTATTTCATGATGGATTTCTAAGAGTCTCCAACAATCGATTCCTATGTCTACCCTGATATCCTTCTATTTCTAGATTGTTTCAATCATGAATTGAAATCAGTTGAAGAATCATTGAAAACTCGATAGGAATGGACGGTTGTTTCGTTTCGGTTTTGCAACTCTTTGGTTGTATGTGCTCACTGTCCTGTAAGAGATTGAACTCAGTACTCTTAGGTCTTGTTGGTTAGCACGTTACTATTCAACCACTAGGTTGAAATTCAGTGATCCACAATTTCCTACTTGTATCCGAGTTGCCACAGCTCATATCAGTACACCAAGTATATAGGCTGTGAAGTGGAAGATGAAGAAAAGAAAATTCAGTCAAAACAAATATAAAGTATGAAAAGAGGGAAAGGAAGAATGAGAAAGTGGTGAGAATTGGCATGGTGTTAAGATGAGGATAATGTGTGTGTATACATCTTCACCAGTGACTTCGATTCTGAGCTATATCACCTAGAGTCAGTCTCCAACCACTTATTTCTCTTATCATCCTGTGGACCTCAACCGGCTAGTCTGCATAGCTCCAAATCGTTCAAACCAACAGTCAGGGAATTCACATATTGATGTCATGCCATGTTTTGGTCTGGCCACCTCGGGACTTTTCTCACCCTGGACCTACTTCGGCCAACATTGTGTGATGGGGCGATCGGTGACTGGGCATACGTAGTACGTGTCCCAACCATCTCAATCGATGAAGGTTTATAACCTCGTCAACTGATTTACCTCCACTCCCTAAAACTCTACACCTGACTTCTGCATTACTCATGTGGTGACACTATGGAATACAGCCCATACTACGAAGGGAACGGTGGTCAACCACCTGAAGCCAGCCTTCTCATGTCTTTAAGCTTCAATGGGGATGTTTCACAGCCATACAGTAGAACAGACCAGACTGCTGTTCAGTAGATGCGACCCTTAATAGACAACTGGATATCACGGCGGCATCACAGGTGGTGTAAGTTGGCAAAAGCCAATGGAGCCTTTTGTATCCGTGCAGAGATTTCATCAGCCACTGAACCACCATCGTAGGGCTGATCCTACTTCCCAGGTAAGTGAAGTGGTCGACACGCTCAATCAATACACTGTCTATTGTTAGCCGTGGCACCGCTGAAGACCAATCCTGGAGCGAAAATTTTGCATTTTGGTGGTGAGAAACGCATCCCAAACATTCTCAAATTGCTACTCCAAGTGTTCAGAAGACTACATTTTGTCAGCGTCTTCACCTAACAGAACTATATCATCTGCATATTCTAGGTCTGACGAAAATTCTCCACCGATTAGGTCAACGTCTGTGTAATCAGGTGACGAGAGGGAGACCTCCATTAGAATATCTATGATAAAATTGAATAGGAATGAAAACAGTGGGTACCCTTGACGCACACCACTCGATGAGTACAGCTCCCCGGATATCTCACCATAGACTCTAACACGCCCACAAGTATTCGAGTTAAGAGCCTTCAATAAGGTGATGTACCTACTCGGCGCGCCTTTCAATGAGAGACAAAGCTTGCTGCTCGGCCGGGAATCGAACCCGGGCCTTTCATATCACAGGCGGAGACACTTGCCACTATACGATCACGTGAGTCATTATTATTTGTCCCTTGGGTTCCTAGTGGAACATAGGGCTTAACTAGCACGTCTCCATTCCACTCTGTTCTCTGCAATCTTTTGAACTTGGCTTAACGACTTCCCAGAAGCCTCATTTCTTCCTCACACAATCTCCTCCATGCCACCCTCGCCTCGGACGCCCAACTCGTCATTTCCCATTTGGGCTCCACTTGATTGCCTGACGCGTGATGTCCCCAAATGGTCTTATCAGCGTGTGCCTAATCCATCTCCATTTACTTCTGCATATTGGTTGAGCGATAGATTGTTGGTTGGTTCGTTGTCAGCCAGAGTTCCTTGTTGCTTATTCTCATTATTCTGGCCATCTGAGCTTCAGTAACGAGCCAGCGTAAGCGGCAGTTGTTGATGAATATCTGTAGTTTGTTTGAAATGCTTTTCGTAACGCGTCGCCAAGTCTGTGAACCATCAGATAGAAGCACTGACTTGACTGATATTGGTGTTGTAAATCCGGATGTTGTTCACGCTTTTTGCTGAGTGCAGAAGATCTCTACATTAGTTTCAGGTCAATGAACGCCTGTCTTGCTTTTCCGATCGTGGTTGCTTTGACATCCTTGTCTGTGCTGCCTGTAGTTGAAACGGTGCTGCCTAGATAGGTGAAAGAGGTTACTTCCTTTGAGTTTCTCCCGTTGATGGTGATTGGGGCTTGTTGTTGTTGGTCGTGGTGTTGTTGGTCGGGTATCATCATCATTTCTGTCTTCTCTACGTTCACTTGAAGTCCCGAGTTCGCTGCCCTACCTCTTCTGTCAACTTATTAGTTTTCGTCTTTAGGTCTTCGAGGCATCGGTGAAATCCAAATCTTCTAAGATCCTTTCCCTGGTCCAGCATATCCCCTTCTTCTCGCTCCTCATGGTTTGTTGTATGATCCAGTCAACCAGAGTCAGGAAGGTCATGGGTGATAGTAGGTGGCAGCCTTGTGTTAGTTCTGTCTTCACTTCAAAGGCATCACTGATCTTTCCATTGTGAATTACTTGGCTGGCATGTGGCGTCTTCATGTAGTTGTTGAATGAGGTTGATAAAGGTTTGTGGCACTAAGAAAAAGTGTTGGAGCAATTTTCAAATTACTTCTCGGTTGACGCTGTCGAAGGCCTTTACGAATTCGATGAGGTTGGTGTAGAGTTGAGTTGATTACCGTTCTGTGCTGTGTTCTGTGATGATGCGTAGTGCAGCGTTACGATTTGGTCCGCACATATTTGTACTTCCTGAATCCAGCTAGCCAGTCAGCCAGCCTGTTCGTGTCGTAGTTTTGAATCCAGTATATCCTGTGGTCTCTCCAGTATGATGTGGCTTAATATTTTGTTTGAGGTAGACAGGAGCATGATTCTACCCTAGTTTTTGCAAAGACTCAAGTCTCCCTTCTTTGGTAGTTTGACAAGGTAGCCCTTCTTCCTATCAATCGACAGGTACCTTTCCTTGCTTCCAGACCTTTTGCAATGGTGGTGTGAGCATGTGCACTGTTAACAATGCGTCTGTTGTCATCACTTCTGATGAGATTCCATCTGGTCCTGCTGTTTTCCAGCATTTCAGTAGTTTTATGGTGCTCAGGACTTCGACTTTCGTTGGAGGGCTTGTGTTCACTTGTAGTTTTGTGGCTGGGCTGTAGGTGGTATTTCTAGACGAAGTGCAGGTGGTAGTGGTGGTCGATTGAAGAGTTTTTTGAAGTGGTGAGACCATCGTTCCCTTTGTTTCTCATCTTTGGTAATTAGATTTCTTCCATCATGTTTTATTGGTTTCATCTGTGTTGATCTCTTCCTTGGTAGATAGTAACCTGATTATTTGATATAATGTTTTCAGTCAGGTCTGTCCTACCAGCAGCCTGTTGTGCTTTACTTGCCAGTGTGTCATGGAAGTGTCTTTTGTCTTTGTGCACACTCTTCTTCACCTCTTAGTCCAGTATAGTGTTTTATACGTTGTACTCAGTTCTTCTTTTCGTTGTTCATCCTTGCACTGCACTGGTTCATCTTCTGCTTCACCATCCTCCTCTCCTCTCCTCTCCTCTATCAGCTTCCATGTGTGCGTGGAGATCCATTCCTTGTCCTGTCATGTATCTTCTTCCTTCTTAATGCGGTTATGCAGGTTTCTTTCCACATCTCTTTCAGAGAGTTCTACTGTTCTTCCACACAGGTTTCTTCAGGGATGTTGTTCAATGTCTCCCATTTTGTTCTGATGGCTGACTGACGTGAATATGTCTTTTGTAGTTTCGTTCTTCAGTTCCTGTTCTAGGTGGATGTTGAACTTGAACTGTGGTCTATCACCAACTTCCTTGAAGGTTTTCAGATTGATGTTGAAGGTAGGTTGCTTGCACTAGATAATGGTGTGAGTGGTGTGAACCTACATCTGCTCCCCTCCCTTGATCTGATTTTGTGTGAAGTAGGCTGGCTGCGTCTCCACTTTCTTCACATTGAGATGAAGTCGATCTGATGTTTAGTGTAGTGTGTCGTGGTGTCTGGTGAAATCAAATCCATGTCGCTCACTTTGTGAATGTCCTTGTGTTTGTACACAGTGCCTCCAATCACCAAATCGTTGAATGCACAGAATTCTGCAAACAGTTCTCCATTCTCGTTCATCATTTCACTGAGTGCTTCTCTATACAGGATTGGTTCTCTTCCTGTGTTGTCTGCTCCCATTTTCGCATTCATGTCACCCAACCGATTAGAATTTTGATGTCGCCAACTGGGGTGAGGTGTTGTCCAGTGTTGATTGGAGTTGTCTGTAGAATTCTTCCTTGTTTTTCTGTTGATGTGCATTATTTGTAGTTGTTTAGCGTAGCATTGTATGATTGTGACTTTCCTTCGTTTTGAGTTGAATTTTGCTGTCATGATCCTGGAGTAGATTGGTTGATGTTGGGGACATCATGAAAGCCACTCGAAAACTCAGTGTACTGTGCTTGTGTTTGTCGTCTGGGTGACAATATGGGAGTAGATTATTGACTTCTGTGGAGTTGACAGTTTGGAGAGTCCACTTGCATTCTATCTGCTTTCTGAGATTCCTAGCCTGGCACTTCTATGCTATACCTTCTCATCTGTTTTGCGATCTGGACAGCCTTAGCAGTCAGCCAGCCATCTCCAAACATGGTGTGAACATTCCATGTCCCCATTCGTTCTTTCGCTTTCATCGAGAGAGGCTAAGGCACATCGGCCTACTGGCTTCCCGAAGGGTTTCATCAACAGGCGTCATTTTGTCTCTCCTATTCCATCGAGGAATAATTTTGTTTTCATTTTGTATATTTTGTTTGTGGTTTGAAGTTTCTTAAGTGGTTTGATCGATTTTACGGGGTAGAGTTGCTATGTGTATGTCCAACCTTCCCTCTTTACCTGTGCTTAAGACTGGCTAGTAGTTAGTGAACTAGTGAACTTGGGGAGGTTGCGATCACGTGAGTATTCGTGACAAATACACGTTTATGGTCAGATTGCTTGAAATGTGTTACGAAATAACATTACACAATTTACAGAGATTATGTCCTTTTATTATTTTGTAGATGTTAATTTAGCAAAGGATTAAACAAATCCTCTCTTCATATTGGAATTTATTCCTCTTCGTCACCGTTACGCTTTTTCTATTACAGGACGTTATATTTAGGCTCAGCTCAATCCATTATTCATGGTCATTGGAGTGAGTGGAGTCAAGAATATTGGACAGTGAGTTTTGTTTGTTCCTCTGATTACGTGCATTTTTCACCGCCTAAATGCAAATAACTGTTTGAAAACTAGTCTTCGTTGGTACCACGTTTAACCATAGTAAGTGGAATGATTGAACACATTGGTCACTTTGGTTATTTCGATCAACCCTGGTATGTCAGTGATCGATGAAATCTGGACATGGATACATAAGGCTTTATAGACGTTTGCCCAGCACCCGTGCGATATCAAGTTGCGTATTAACGGCCAAATATGCCCTGTTGAAATTGCCTCTTTTTTCTGTGTGGCTATGAAATATGGTCACTAAAAGTGGGGTAGATGAGATGGCTTCAGGTGTTTGGTCACCGTTGCCTTCATAGCAAAGGTAATGTGTCATGGTGCCATCGCGTCAGTAACACAGAAGTGAGAGATAAAGTTGTCGGCAGAAGCGGAAACTCAGTTGTTGAGGCTTAGATACCTGTTGCGCATAAGTAGTCACTATCTGCCTTGTCTCACAATATCAGGCTGATGATAGGTTATAGGCGATCAGATTGAAAGATGGTTCATGATGTGACTCTGGGTTTCCAATAGTACGCGAACGAGATAATAATAATGATACATACACATATGTATATATATGGACGTAATATTCATCATGGACTGACATCAGTTAGGGAACCACTGAAAATCTGGGAGCACTGGACAGCTGTTTCGCCCTAGTATGGGACTCCTCAGCAGTACGCACCCACGACCAGGCCAGGGGTCGAACTCGGGACCTTCAGGTCTCACGGCTAACGCGCTAACCATTCAGCCACTGGGTCGGTTCCCAGTGATTCACAATTTCCAACTTCTGTCAATTCACGATATAGCGCGACTATCACCCGTCTTCAGTTAGCATCCACTTAACTTCCGACTGGTTGACCCTACAGGTCATATATATATGTTTGCAAAACTTTCAGAAAGTGAAGCCATAAATGAACCAATCCGATTCGTTATATGACGTCGAATTTGTCCAATCAGGTAATCATGTCAGTGCATGCATAAATCATGATCTGATCATGACCTGAAAACAATTTCCGTATTGGCTACATTTTTATCGCAACTTATCAGTTCAGTTCATGAAGTTTCTGAATGTGGGTTTTAGCCAACAAAGGAAATGTAAATTTCTCCGCCGGAATCCGTGGGACAACAGAAAACAGTGGTTGAAGACTTTGGCTCAGATATGTGTTCACACATTATCTGCATTTTAATCGTCATGTTGAATTTGAGTACTCTTTCATTGCTTCTTGTTCTCTTTTCATGATTTTCATGTTGATTTCGTGTACCTTAATATGCTGGTAAGAGGTGTGGCGCTTGAACTGTTACGCACTCACTAACTTATGTAGGTTTATGACTTAGACTATCCACGTGGATATCGGGGTGATATCACACACAGAGCAATGGTTTCATTTCTTGAAAAAAATCATTCTTTGATTGTTTGTTTAATGATTTCAATGAGTATCTTCGTTGGCAGTACAGTAAACTTGAGTTGGAATATTGGTAGACTGATTAACTAATGTGTAGCTTCCTAAATATATAGGTTTATTTGAACTCTTTTGATAGAGACAGCTTCGATCAATCACAGTTAGTTTAACTGTACTCAGAGGATAAGATTAAATAATAACTAGGAGTAATTGAGAAATGTCTGTACAATATAATGATATTCATTGATAAGAGGGTGGATTACTTTCAGAGGTGAAAACACTATTCGGTAGATAAAGTATTGATTAAATTCCACGTTGATAATGGCGTGTCCTGCAGTCATACTAGTCTGTTTATGATAATTGTTTGATGTTCTCTGAGCTTTTGTCATGAATGTTTTAACGCTAGACTTGGTGATATCCTTAGCACTAACTTCATAAAGAAGTGTTTTTACTAACTATGATTGTTTTCCAATGATTATTGAGAGACATGAAACGACTTGACTGATTGACAAAATCAACGTAGGACCTTGTACACAGTTTCATTGAGTTAAGATACCACATTTTACAGTATTATATAAAGAGCAAGTGGATAGAAAAAGGCTGATGTCAAAGTAGTTGAAGTAGTGTGAGAGAACGAATAGTCAAAAGATAAAGATTAGTACAAATACTCAAGCTTTAGAACATATCAGCGAGTGAATAAATTTTTGTCATTGTGACCGATTTTCAGCCATACCACCAAGAGTCAGTCTACAACCACTAGTTCTTTCAGCCATCGAAATAGTCCCATTAGATAATAATAAAAAGCAATTGGGTTCACAGAAATCAAACAGGTGGTCTAGATCTCCTCATACGGCTTAGACCATTAGTAAGCGACTTCGTCGACCGGTGCCACCGTCAACCCTCATCCAACCTTTTCCCATTTTCCCTAACATGACACGTTGAGGTAGGAGATGGCTCGACATACACATTACATACCGACTAAACTTCACAACCTCATCAATCGACTTACTCGTCTTACCTAACACCCTTCACCCAACCGCAACATTGCTCATACGGTGATTCCACTGAACGAGAGTAATGCTACGACTACATCTGTGATCAAAAAGCTGTAACCGCTTTATGTCTTCTACTTTCAACGGTGATATCTCATAGCTGTATAACAAGATAGAACGAACTGCAGCACAATACGCTCGTCCTTCCATAGATAGTCGGAGATCTAGCGTTAAAAGTAACAGATGTTGGCAAATACAAAACGGATCTTCTGTATCCGAACTGAGATTTCGTCAGAAAGCAGCCCGTTTCATGGCTTGATCTCACTCCCCAAGTAAGCTGAGTGGTTGGTACATTCCACCACTTCACTCGCCATCATTAAACTAGGAGTACTCGCAGTACATCATTCCTGGAGTATCATCTTACAGTTGATAGGTGAGAAACGCATTTCAGTCAAACATACTCAGATATCTGCTCAATTCATCCAGAAAACTCTGCATTATTTTCAGTGTCTTTACCTTGCAGGTCATTATCGTCCGCATACTCCAAGTCGACTAAATGACCTCCAGGGAAAAGGTCAATCCTTATGAAGTCAGACGTACCAAAGGTTATTCCTATTAGTGTGTCTATGACGAAGTTAAATAGCAACGGTGACAGTGGACATCTCTGGAGAGCACTACTAGTTGTCGTCAACTCACTTGACAATCCTGCAAGAGCTCTTACGCAACTGCGTGAGTTTGAGTAGAGAGCTTTCATCAGCGTTATTTACTTTCTTGATACTCCCTTCACAGTCAAACACTACCACAACACCTTACAGTCAGCTGAGTCAAATGCCGCCTTCAGGTGAAGAAACACGGCGGGTGCTGCCTGTGTTCCAGAGCCTGTCGTAAGGTAGAAATATGATCAGCACACCCTCATCTAGATGGGAAACCTGGCAAATTTTCTCGAGCTTCCTATTTCCAACCTCCACAGTTTCAATGTACACAGGAAAGCATGATAAGAAATTCCACTGGGAGAATGTAGGTTCCCTCCAAACAGCATTTTCTAAAGCTGCAGTGAAATTTCTAAAATGCATAGCTTTCCTATGAAAAGTCAATCAACAAACATGTGTATATAGACCCAGTGTATAATCCATTTATTTATAAAAACAGTTTTCCACCACCTAAGAGAAAACTGACGGAAAAAAATCAATAATGAAGCACATTATGACAGCACAATTTCTCTCTGATAAAGACTTTCTACCACGTTGATCGAGTGAAATTTTAGATCACAATGGTCAGGATATGTTTCAATATCTTTTTCCCAACTTATAATTGGATAACACTCAAGATCGATAAGAATACTACTTAACAATTCGTGTAATACTCCTATATACTTCACGTTTTTATGAGGGTTAGGTCATGAAGTTGTTACCTCAGACTATATCTACCAGTTCACATGTACATCCATCCATCCCATCCAAATCAACGTAGGACCAGGCGTTACTGCGTAATGGTCCAAGGTGCCACACGTCATATCAGTTCATCAGGTAAAAAGGCAATAAAATGGAAGATGAGGAAGGAAATAAAATGAGTGATGGTGAGATTCGGTATAGCGTCGTTAAAATGAGGATAATGTGTGTGTATACATCTGCACCACTGACATCGGTTCTCAGCCATATCACCTATGGTCACTCTCCAACAACTGGTTTCTCTTTTCCCGTGGACTCCAACCGGCTAATCTACATCGCCCCATATGGCTCAAACCAACAGTCAACGACTTCATGCATTCATGATATGTTTTAGTCTAGCTGCCTCGAGCCTTTTTCCAACCTGAACCTACTTCGGTCACATGTACATATCAAAGCATATATGGATGAACAAAGAGAAAAGTTCGAATTGACATTTCTGAGTATATTGCTGAATAACAACCACTCGATAGCATGATTACTTGTCATCATCTGTTAGATGTGAAACGCAATGTAGATAGGTTTAAAGTATTCAACGTAATGAACAACAGAAAAGATCTAAATCGTACTACTTTACTAGATCCAGTGTACAGAGCCTTACAAAAATATTCAAGGCTAAAGATAAGAAGACAGTGCGTAAAATAATAATGATAATAATAATGGCTTTGTCATATAGTATCATTTGGACAGAAATTGTTTATATGCATACATAATCCAATGAAGCAAACTGAATATATATATATATATATATATATATATATATATATATATATATATATATATATATATATATATATATAAAGATGAGAATATTTACTTCATTTATAACTTTGTTGAAAATGCAGAAGTAGTCTAGAGAAACAGTCATATTAGCAATTAGATTCACAGTGCTTAAGTAACAGCGAATTGTAATGATGGAGAATATTTGTAGCTCAGGTGGATGGTCTTGGTTGTATTGCGTTCTCTGAGCTGGGTTGTTTAATCGTGAAGCTTTCATCGCCTTGCTAAACGACATCATCACCACTAACTTCAGTATGAAGTGAGCTGTCAATATCTCTCAGTGAGTGATTTAGCAGCTTGCCCTGACGATGTGGTCTGTGATTGGTTGTTTCTTTCGATTGTTGTGTCATTGATTGTATTGACTTTCCTGTTGGCTGTTCCTCTACTTCACCTCTGACGTTTCTGTCGTTTATCATTTTTGTAATTGGTTGATAGATCGGGTCTATGTCTATACATCCTCTGATTGCTGACTAACCTGAATGAGTGACGTCACTCATTTCAATGCACATGGATAATCATGGACATGAATTCAATTTCGACAATGTCGAAGTTTTGGACAGAGGAAGCACAGAGAATTTCTAGAAGCTTGGCATCCAGGTCAGTCAGCAATCAATAGATGTATAGACATAGACCCGATCTATCAACCAATAAGAAAAATGATAAACAACAGAAAGGTGAGAGGTGATGCAGAGGAACAGTTAAAAGGAAAGTCAATACAATCAATGACACAACAATCGAAGGAAACAACCAATCACAGACCAAATCGTCAGAGCAAGCCACTAAATCACTCACGGAGAGATAGTAATAGCTCACTTCATACTGAAGTTAGTGCTGATGATGTCGCCTAGCAAGACGATGAAAGCTCCAAGATTAAACAACCCCGCTCAGAGAACACAATACAACGAAGACAGTGAATTGTGTACTTTTTAATTAGTTTCCTTTAAAAACAAATCTTGTTGGTTAGTTCATTTGTAACACTTTCTTACTCGCACGAGATTCGAGCTAATACGTCCTTCATGTCTTTCCAGATGACCAACATGCAGAGAGCTATGAGTAGAGAGGATGTTGGTCATCGGATAAAATAACTCCTGCCAGATGTTTACATGAGTTAATATGTTTGACCATAAGAGTTTCAATTCAAAGGTTTAAAGGTACAACATCACTAGTTCTGCTGAAAGTATTCAAAATTCTACACAATACACAGCATAGTCTTTTTTCATTAACCCAGGAAAGAATAAAGGGGAACAACAGTAGAGAATAGGTAAGATGCACGAATTCATAAAACACTAGGGGAAAGGCTGAGTAATACCAGATACTCTCAGCGTCCTAATATGGAAAGTTAGGCGGAAAATATTTCTGGAAATTAGTGAGGTTTAAAGATAAATCACACTTGTGACATTCTCTAATGCACAACTATGAATAGAACAGGAATCATGAGAACGGGACAGTTTACGTAGATTATGTTCACGTCTAAACTAAAGTTTATAGAATTTCGGGGTTTATGGGGACTTAGTAATTTTTCAAGTTAGTATTCATTACGTACTGACATCAGTTGGAGGAATATTGGAAAGCTGACAGCATTTGACCAACTTGAAAAATCGTTAAATCCTCACAAACCCTCGAATTCAAATGATCTAGTATTTATTGGTGACTAGCTTCAAGAGGTGATTATTCCTAAAGTTCCAATGAGAAGTCGTGACCAGTGGAGTCAACCAAGTGGAACATGAGGACAGCTATTCAACGACGATATTTCAAGCAGGTCGCACTATGTCGTAAACTGACAGAAGTAGGAAATATGAACCATTGGATTCAGACCCAATAGTTCAATGGTGACTTACTGGCCACGGAACCTGAAGGTCTCGGGTTCGACCCCTCGAGGTGAAGGGGGGGGGTTGTGAGTGTGCTCACTGCGGAGGAGTCCTCTACTAGGTAGAAACAGTTACTGTCCAGCACTCCCAGGTTTAAGATATTCCTCCAACTGATGTCAGTTCGTGGTGAATTCCAACCTAAAATCAAATAAGTCACCTTTAGAAACCTCCAGATAGTGCTAATATTTTTAGTTCATTCGAAGTGGAACATAGGACTTCAGTTGCCATTTCACCATTTCACTCTCTTCTCCACAGTCTTGTGAACCTGGCTCCACTATTGTTCATAAGCTTCCATTCTTTCCTCATACAATCTCCTCCATGTCATTCTCGCCTTGGACGCCCATTCGGGTTCCACTCGATGGCCTGGCCTGACAAGTGATGTCCCCAAACGGTCTTCTCAGTGTATGACCAGTCCAATCCATCTACACTTTCTTCTATGACATATTTGTTGGGCGATAGGTTGTTGGTTGGTTGGTTCGTTGTCAGGCCAGCCAGAGTGACTTCCTTGTTGCTTATTCTTTCTTATTCAAAGTAATCAAGGCAACTAAAGTTTATTTCGTTTTTCCAAAATTCTCTATATCTTGCCAATAATTATACAGTCAGTAGTATCCTTGAAGAAGTAGTGTGTTTGAAATTGTTAAGACAAATAAACAAACACGATTGCTATGGTATGGCGTCATATCCAATATAAATCACTAGCTTTTTTCTCCTATAATGGTGTTCAGTGTGTCAAGCTTCTTGATTCTTCTAAAGTGTTACTTCTGATTATCATGGGAAAATGAAAGCTGTCTGAGTAAATAAGCTGTGCATAACATCTGTAAGCAGTATTAGATTGATACTTTTGTAACCTGATGCTTAAAATGAGATGTAAGTGGTTGTAGGATCTCAACTGATAATATTCCAATTTCCTGATTTTAAGATATAACTTCTAATTGAATGTCAACCCTTTTTCATTCAACAAGATTTGTGCTGTCACGTGCATAGTAGGTCCAATTGTCATGATTATCCAAACAAGAGAGCATGGTTAACCATATTTTCATCAAATTGCCTTTTGAAATGCACAATCTTGATTTCTAGTACTAATACAAACGACCATTTCACCTCCATGATCTGTGTTCATGTTATTTTCCAATAGATAAACCACACTTGTAACATTCTGTAATGCGCAACTAATAAATAAAACAGGAATCATGAGAACTAAACAGTTTATATAGGTAATGTTCACGTGTGGTGAAACTAAAGTTTATAGTCTGACATTTTGAAGAATTAAGTATAAGACCACTTATGGAGGATCGTCTTCTAACAGAAGATAGTATATCATTCAATTGTGAACAGTTTGTTGAAGAGGAGACAGGTATGAAAACTCTATCAAGTCATCAGCATATTTGATAAGATTGATACTATCTGAAGATGATAAGTCATACAATAAGAAAGAGAAAAGACCATGGGAGAGGATGGCCCTATGAGAAACACCAGTCACAGTAAACAATGAGGTGAAGTGCTTCCCTTTCTTTTAACAGAGAAATAGGAATGCAGCCAGATGTTTATCCAGGACTCAGTAATGGTTTCGGCTAACTTGTTCAGCAAAAGAGGTCTTGTGACAGAATCATATTCCTGAAGTATAGCCTGAAGAAGCACACCTGACATACTTGGCATTCAGAGTGCTTCTTTTTCTTTTTATCAAGCTCTGTCTATTGATGAAATAGCTTATTTTCTGTTGTGATTAGTTACCCATCAAAGTTCAACTATACATTTTTTTCAAAAATTATTTATGTATAACATTTATTTAGGTACGTCGAAGTATGACTGTAGCAAGTCATTTACGTGATATTGGTGATAACTATCGAGCAGCTTATTTACAATCTTTTGATACGGTTGATCGTACAGTCTTACCATTGATGATTGAAAATTTTGGTTCCGGTTCTGGATGGTTACGTTCACAATGGCCACTTTCACCAGCTCTTGGTGGACCATATATAGCTGTTCATTGGCGACGTGGTGATTTTGTTACTACATCAGATACAGATTCAGTTACTTCTACTACAAGATCGTCTAATAATTTTGTAGCAGCTGAACAAATTTTAAATGCTTTGAGAATATTTAATCAAAATGAAGATCGGCATATTGATACAATCTATTTAGCTACAGATGCTAATCAAGAAGGTAGGCAGACTTCTTTGTTAACCCTATACAGTTGTTATTTAAATAAACTTAATCCAACTGTTACTTTTCTGGTTGAAATCAGTATGGAGGATTGTGATTCTTAGATGTGTGTGTTACCATGTGGTCTGAGTCATGTAAGTAGGTGTAGACTACCTACCTGCGGGTCCTTGAGATGATAGGAATCAGTAGTTAAGGTCTCTTAGTGACACGACTGAAAATCGGTGACAATAACACAGATGTATTTGTGCTTTGATATCTTTTAAACCTTAAATGTCTGCGAAGTCTTATATTTATTTCGTCTATCTGTCAACATTGTAGGTCCAATTCTTTAATAAATGACAAGTCTATCCAAGTATTTTGAACAATACAAGAACAAAGACATTTGCAGAATAAAATGATATTATGATTTGTTACTTCGGCTTATTAGTTGATTTTGGTCATTGTTAGCAACATATAACCTGCTTTCCAGTTGCTTCTATATATCCGGTAATTTCATTTTGATCCTAAAGATAATTGATAGCTAGCTATAGAATCCAAGACGTTCATTATGTCCTAGATGATAAACATCGGTTGAATGTACTGACTTCCCAGTGAGTGATTGTATTCCCGTTGAGGTTCAAATCCATCACAATTGCCTAGGGGATAACACTCTTGTTTTTGTAACATTAAACTGTTGATTTTTGAAGCTATGGCCAACAGGAGGTTGAAGTTCATGTAGGTTTCTTACCTGATCAACCTGTTGCTATCTCTGAGACTAGAAACTGCTTTCTCTCTCGTAATTTACATCATGGAGAACTTGTTCATGCATCGTTTCAACTACAGGTGGCACAGATGAGGACGTCAAAACCAGGATCGGAAAGACAGCAAGACAGGCCTTCGTTAATCTGAAATCAGTGTGGAGACCTACTATACTGCACTCAGAATAAAGCGTGAACAAGTTCCGGATTTTCAACACTAATGTCAGTCAAGTCAGTGCTTCTGTCTGATGGTTCAGAGACTTGGCGGCGCATTATGAAAAGCATTTCCAACAAACTACAGACATTCATCAACAGCTGCCGCCTACGCTACTTGATACTGAAGATCAGATGGCCAGAATAATAAGAATAAGCAAGAAAAACTCACTTTGGCTGGCAGCTACCAACCAAGAACCCATCGTTCAACAAATATGTAGAAGAAAGTGAGATAGATCGGGCATCCACTGAGAAGATCGTTTGGGGACATCATACACCAGACCAGGCCATCAGCAGAAGCCGAATGGTAAACTACGAGTTGGGCGTCCGAGGCAAGGGTGGTATGGAAGCGGTGATGTGAGAAAAAAATGAAAGCTTGTGGGCAGTCATGGAGCCAGGTTGAAAAGATTGCAGTGAGAGGAGTGAAATTGCGACGTGCTACTGAATCCCTATGTTCCACTAGGAACCCTAAGGACAAGTAATAAAATAATAATGAGAACTTGTTCAAGTTGACTTATTCACAACTAGAAAGTAGGATTTTCTCTATCTGTTTGTATTTTACCCTTATTGTAGAAGTTGAAAATTTGAAAAATTTACTCTATCCATTTCAAGTGTTGAATTTTGAGCCTAGTGAATCTCAATGGATATCCTATGGACCCGGAGGGATAGCAATTATTGACCAGTGGATATGTGCACATGCAAGGTATGTATTTATTGAGTATACACATCTATCTATTTCAAGTTACTATTCTGCATGAATTGATGTCAATCAAAGGAAATATTGAAAACCTAAAAGCATTGGATAGCTGTAGTACTCGCTCACGATCCCGTTATGGATCTAACTAGAATCTTAAAAATAAAATCCCTATAAACTTTAAACTACATTACTGTATATAGTGCTTATTACTGACTTACTTGGAGATGGATATTGCAAAATTCTAATGAGAAGCCGTGATTTATGGAGTCAATCAAGTTCGAAGTGAAGTGGATGTCAACTGAAGACTTTGTTAATTAATTGCGCTACATGTTGAATTGACAAGAGTAGAAAACTGTGGATCATTGGTATCTGATCCAGTGATTGATTAGTTAACACGTTTTCCTCATGAAACCTTAAGGCTCTAAGTTCGATTCCTAGCTGGGTCGTGGGTGCATATTGATGAGGAGTTCCATAGCAGAATGAAATAGCTGTCCAGTGCCCCAGGGTTTCAGTGGTTTCCCAACTGATGTCACTCCATGATGTATACATATGAAGTTTTGATATGTCTTAGTTGTTATTACCTATCTATTATTTAATTAAGCTGTTAAGTATGGTAAATGTATATATGAGTAGGCTTAAAACGTTGACTAATAGACAGATAGATAGACAGGTGGTTGACATTTCCCGGTTATCCATATCATGGGTGTTCCTGTGAAATACCTCAAAACATTGTCAGTATGCCTGGTCTAATCACTTTAACAATATGATGGTAAAGCTCAAATGAAAAGTGATTGAGCAAAGTTGGTTACATATACAACCTTTTTTTGAATGAGATTCAGTTCTCTGGGTTCCATGTTCATCAACATGAGAGTGGATGTTCTAGGAGAAATGCCAGAACAAAAAATGAGACCATTTTATGGCCTTTCATCATTTCTAAACAGCTTACAATTGAAATTATTATCAAATTTTTGAGGGGGTTGTGGAGATTTGGAAATATTTCAAGTTGTTATTCATCGAAGACTGACATCAGTTGGAGGAACAAAGGAAACATGGGAGCACTGGACAGCTGTTTCGTCCTAGTATGGACTCCTCAGCAGTGCGCACCCACGACCCCACCAGCAGGGATCGAACCCGCCACCTTCAGGTTCCGCGGCCAGCGCGTTATCATTGAGCCACTGGGTCAGAATCCAGTGCTCCATATTTCCAACTTCTGTTAGCTCACGATATAGTCAGTCTTCGATGAATAACAACTTGAAATATTTGCAAATCTCCACAACCCCCTCAAAAATTTAATTGAACTGATGCTCATTGGTGACTAGCTTCGAGAAGTATTCCCGAAGTTCCAATGACAAGTCGTGACCGGTGGAGTCAAAGCCTGATGGCCGTGAGGACAAATACTCAACGATGACATTGGGTGGCTGTTTGCGTTATATCGTGAGCTAACAGAAGTTGGAAATATGGAGCACTGGATTCTGACCCAGTGGCTCAATGATAACGCGCTGGCCGCGGAACCTGAAGGTGGCGGGTTCGATCCCTGCTGGTGGGGTCGTGGGTGCGCACTGCTGAGGAGTCCCATACTAGGACGAAACGGCTGTCCAGTGCTCCCATGTTTCCTTTGTTCCTCCAACTGATGTCAGTCTTCGATGAATAACAACTAGAAATTATTATCATCATCACTAACTTCAGTGTAAGGTGAGCTGTCAACATCTCTACTTGAGTGATTTAGTATCTTGCCTTGACAAACTGGTTTGTGACTGGTCATCATTAAAAAAGATGATATGGAAAACACAGTTTGATGAACAACGTTTTCAATGACATCAAATTCACAATGAGTAGGAGTCAAATAACCAACTAACATTCCTGGATGTTTTAGTCAATAGGACAAATGCTGGAAAGCTAGAAACCCAAGTGTACAAGAAGTCAACACACTGATCAAATTCCTAACTACAGTAGCAACAACCCAACAAAACACAAAACTAGTTGCATGCACACTCTATTCAAAAGAACGAGAATACACTGCAGCACAACAACTTAACGGAGAAAGCAAAAAGATTGCCTTATGTCCATCCTAAAGAAGAACGACTACCTATTAAACTTTCTCAGAAGATGCCTATCCTGTGCATCATTAACTACAAAGTCATCACAACAGAAATCAATAAGCGGATCATCCTACCGTATATAAAGAATATACCAGAATTCACGACAAGATTACTGAGACCACTTGGTTGAATTGGTGTGGCTCATAAACCAATAAATTCCCTACAAACACTATTACGCAAACCAAAGGATGCAACAACCAAAGAAGATTAACCGAATATCATTTACAAAACCAACTACAATAACTGTAGTCAATACTACATTAGACACAGTGGTTACCCCCTTCACCTTCGTCCGCATGAACACCAATTGGCTATTAAACGTCACACACGACATTTCATCACTCATTTCAATGCACATGGATAACAACTCTGAACATGATTCAATTTTGACAATGTATAAATGTTAGATGGAGAGATGAAACACAAAGAATATCAGAGAATTCCTTGAAGCTTGTCATTTAGGTCAATCAGTCAGCAATCAATAGATGTATAGACATAGACTTGGTCTATCAACCACTAAGTAAAGTGATAAACGACAGGAAGGTCAGAGGTCAAGCAGAGGAACAGCCAACAGGAGGATTTACGCAGTCAGTGGGAACAACCAATCATAGACCACTTGGTCAGGGCACGGGACTAAATCACTCATGGAGAGAGATTAACAGCTCACTTCACCCTGAAGTTAGTGGTGATGATGTCGTCTAGAAAGACGATGGAAGCTTCAGGATTAAACAACCCGGCTCATAGAACACTATACAACCAAGACCATTCACCTGAGCTACAAATATTCTCCACTATTTCAAACACAGGGTTAATAATTACAAATCTTAGTCAAAATGAATGACAATTTATACCTGATGAGATAAAGTATTCTAGCGCTGTGTAGTTGGGGGGGGGGGCGGCAACAAACGAAAATCAGCGTGAAAAAAGGAACTGTTTAAGGGGTAGCAGGCTACGTAATCACATGAAAAAGTTGAACATCGTTAAGTGGTTGACAGTCAGTAAGTAATTAATGAAGAGATGATGCTATCAAAAGGAAAGGGAAGACTATCTACACACACACTCAAAATCTATATACAGTTACCAGTGTAAAGAAACGTTAATTACAGTTTCTTTCTCAGTACATAGGTCAGTTTGGAAATGTTTGGTAGCGAGAGCTTCCGTTAGGATAGTTGGATCAGTTTCAAGATAACAAGCTCCAATGCTCATCTCATTTTTAAGCTGGAACGGCGGCTATTTCGATATTTAAATGAATGACTACTTTTATGTTTATGAGGTTCGTAGCATTGCTGGTGTATGATATAATCTCCGCGTGAGCAATCCCAAGGTAAGGTATGAGGTACTAGGCGAAGGTGGGGAATAAATGAAGGAATTTGTGAGCCACAGTCTATTGAGATGGCTTGGGCATATGCTGTTGATATCCGAATAAGGATTAAGTTGGAAGAAAAAAATTGACCAGAACAAAACTTGGCACTAGTCGATAAAGTATCTGATTGTTGGTATGTGTGTGTGCCATGTAGGAAGGCGTTTACTACCTGATTGGGATCAGCTTCCAGGTAGGAGTGATATGGCTGAAAATCGATAACAGTAGCTCCGAGTTAGATACTGTCTTTTCTTCGAAATCTCGAACATTTTCATCAACCTTCATCTATTTATGCCCTCAGCCGTCATGTTCAATTTTTCACATCAGTGTAACTTTTTCTGCTCACTATTTTCTTTCATTGTAATGTGTAGTGTTGCAACCTGAACCGATTCAGTCACGGACACCAGGTTCTACATTGATTCGTCCATTTGCTTGTCTTTTCGTCCGTCTGGTTGGCCAGCTGGCTCTTCTTCTTTAGCGTAATTTATATTGTATTTTTCTGAGCATAACAATACTGGAGATCATGTAAACACTTTTGATAAGTTGATGAGTTTCAGGATCTTTTGATCTTCATGTATGAATATCTTGAAATCTGTGGTTTTTTTTATCTGACGTATTTCAAGTTGTTATTCATCGTAGACTGACATCAGTTGGAGGAACGATGGAAAACTGGGAGCACTGGACAGCTAGCCGTTCCGTCCTAGTATGGGACCCCTCAGCAGTGCACACCCACGGCCCCGCCAGGGATCGAACCCGCGACCTTCATGTCCCGTGGCCAACACGTTACCATTGAGCCACTGGGTCGGAATCCAGTGGTCCATATTTCCAATTTCTGTTAGCTCACGATATAACGCAACCGCCACCCAATGTTATCGGTTAGTAACTGTCCTCACGACCATCAGGCTTTGCCCCCATCAGTCACCTGAAGGTCGCTGGTTCGATCCCTGATGGGATCGTGGGTGCTCACTGCTGAGGAGTCCCATACTTGGACGAAACAGCTGTCCAGTGCTCCCAGGTGTCCTTTGTTCCTCCAACTGGTGTCAGTCTACGATGAATAACAAGAAATATTTCCAAATCCCCACAACTCCCTCAAAATTCAATTATCTGACGTATGAAAATGCAGGCTGATGACTCATCAGACTTTGTTTAATGATCAATAACGTATTGGTTGAACGCATTGACTACACTTGACCAGGGATTCGTACTAGTCCAAATGGTCTGTTAATTAACATCAGATAGACGAATAGTATCAATATAGAAAGAGGCTTTACAGCATAGAGATTCAAAGTTACCACACCTTATATCAAGAAAGGAAGCACTTAGATGAAAGAGAGAAAAAATAGTCAACATTGGTAGAAAGTTCTAATGAGATAACAAGGCGAAATAGGAAAAATACTAAATCTATTATGATGATTAAAATGAAGTCGATTCTGAGCGATATCACCTTGAATCTGCGACCACTAGTTTCTGTTGTCACATACGTCGCAAACGGAAAGACTACATTTGTTTACTCCATTAACGCCAAACAAGAGAAACCAGTGGTTGGA